CTGAGCCCCCACTTATGGGGCTGAGTCCCCATTTACAGGGTCACTTGTCCCCCCTCAGTGGGGCCGTGCCCCCCCCAGCCCTGTGGGGTCACCTCCCGTCTGTGGGGCCGGACCCCCGGATGTGGGGCTGAGCCCCCGTATGGGACCGGGTCCCTCTGTGGGGTCAAACCCCTCCCTGTGGGGCCGAGCCCCCCGTCACGGGGTCAGGACCCCGCTATGGGGCTGAGCCCCCTTTGTTTTGGGGTCCCACCCCCGCTATGGGGCCGAGCCCCCCTTGTTTTGGGGTCCCACCCTGCTATGGGTTCAGAACCCCGCTATGGGGCCAAGCCCCCTTTGTTTTGGGGTTCCACCCCCGCTATGGGGCCGAGCCCCCTTTGTTGTGGGGTTCCACCCCTGTTATGGGGCTGAGCCCCCTTTGTTGTGGGGTCCCACCCCTGTTATGGGGCTGAGCCCCCTTTGTTGTGGGGTCCCACCCCACTGCCACAGGCTCAGACCCCTGTTATGGGGCCGGACCCCGCCATGGGGCTGAGCCCCCCTTGTTTTGGGGTCCCACCCCGCTATGGGGCTGAGCCCCCCTTGTTTTGGGGTCCCACCCCGCTATGGGGCTGAGCCCTGCTTGCTATGGGGTCAGAACCCCCTATGGGGCTGAGCCCCCCCCTGTTTTGGGGCCAGACCCTGCTATGGGGCTGAGCCCCCCCTGTTTTGGGGTCCCACCCCCATTATGGGTTCAGAACCCCCCTATGGGGCTGAGCCCCCCCTGTTTTGGGGTCCCACCCCTGTTATGGGGCCGAGCCCCCTTTGTTGTGGGGTCCCACCCCCATTATGGGGTCAGAACCCCGCTATGGGGCTGAGCCCCCCCTGTTTTGGGGTCCCACCCCCATTATGGGTTCAGAACCCCGCTATGGGGCTGAGCCCCCCCTGTTTTGGGGCTGGATCCCATCGTGGGGCTGAGCCCCCTCTGTTTTGGGGTCCCACTCCTGTTTTGGGGTCCCACCCCGCTATGGGGCCGAGCCCTGTTTGTTGTGGGGCTGAGTCCCTTTCATTTTGGGGTTGCCCCCTGTTTTGGGGTCCCACTCCCCATTTCGGGCTCCCATCCCCCTGTTTTGGGGTCCCAGCCCCATTTCAGGGTCCCACCCCCATTTCGGGGTCCCCCCGTTTGGGGTCCCCCCATTTCGGGGTCCCCCCATTTCGGGATCCCACTCCCCATTCCGGGGTCCCATTCCGGGGTCCCCGTTTGGGGTCCCCCGTTTGGGGTCCCACCCCCTATTTCGGGGGTCCCACCCCCATTCCGGGGTCCCCGTTTCGGGGTCCCATTTCGGGGTCCCCATTTGGGGTCCCAGCCCCATTTCGGGGTCCCCGTTGGGCTCCCACCCCCATTCCGGGATCCCATTTCGGGGTCCCCGTTGGGGTCCCACCCCCATTTCGGGGTCCTCATTTTGGGGTCCCATTCCGGGGTCCCCCATTCCGGGGTCCCCATTCCGGGGTCCCCATTTCGGGGTCCCCATTCCGGGGTCCCCATTTCGGGTCCCCATTCCGGGGTCCCCATTTCGGGTCCCCATTTCGGGTCCCCCGTTTCGGGGTCCCCCATTTTGGGGTCCCCATTTTGGGTCCCCCATTTCGGGTCCCCATTCCGGGGTCCCGTTGGGGGTCCCCGTTTCGGGGTCCCATTTCAGGGTCCCGTTTCGGGGTCCCATTTCGGGGTCCCATTTCGGGTCCCCCATTTCGGGTCCCCCATTTCGGGGTCCCGTTTGGGGTCCCATTTCGGGGTCCCATTTCGGGTCCCCCATTTTGGGGTCCCCCATTTCGGGGTCCCCATTTTGGGTCCCCCATTTCGGGTCCCCCATTTCGGGGTCCCGGTTTTGGGGTCCCCCCGCTGACCTCCTTCTCTCCCCAGCTCCCGGCCGGCGCTGCCGACGGCGCGCCTGGGGCCGCTGGTGGGGCTGGAGCCGCCCGAGCGCCGGCGCTTCCTCGGGGGGCTGCCCCTCGCCTTCACCGGGCCCGACCGCGGCGCCATCGACTGCCGGCAGAGCCTGCCCGCCCTGCCCCACATCTGACCCACAGAGACCCACAGGGACCCACATCTGACCCACTGAGACCCACATCTGACCCACATCCAGAGCCTGCCCGCCCTGCCCCACATCTGACCCACTGCGACCCACATCTGACCCATAGAGACCCTCTGAGACCCACAGAGACCCACTGAGCCTGCCCGCCCTGCCCCACATCTGACCCACTGCGACCCACAGAGACCCACAGGGACCCACAGAGACCCACATCTGACCCACATCCAGAGCCTGCCCGCCCTGCCCCACATCTGACCCACGGCCGACCCATAGAGACCCACTGAGACCCATGGCAGCCCTGCCCCACATCTGACCCACTGCGACCCACATCTGACCCATAGAGACCCACTGAGACCCACTGAGACCCACATCTGACCCACATCCAGAGCCTGCCCGCCCTGCCCCACATCTGACCCACTGCGACCCATAGAGACCCACAGAGCCTGCCCGCCCTGCCCCACATCTGACCCACTGCGACCCATAGAGACCCTGACCAACATCTGACCCACTGAGACCCACAGGGACCCACTGAGACCCACAGAGACCCACAGCTGACCCACATCCAGAGCCTGCCCGCCCTGCCCCACATCTGACCCACTGCGACCCATAGAGACCCACTGAGACCCACAGAAACCCACAGAAACCCACAGCTGACCCACATCTGACCCATAGAGACCCACAGAGACCCACTGAGCCTGCCCGCCCTGCCCCACATCTGACCCACTGCGACCCATAGAGACCCACAGAGCCTGCCCGCCCTGCCCCACATCTGACCCACAGAGACCCACAGGGACCCACAGAGCCTGCCCGCCCTGCCCCACATCTGACCCACTGCGACCCACAGAGACCCACAGAGCCTGCCCGCCCTGCCCCACATCTGACCCACGGCCGACCCATAGAGACCCACTGAGACCCATGGCAGCCCTGCCCCACATCTGACCCACAGCTGACCCACATCCAGAGGGGCTGCCCCACATCTGACTCATGGCCGACCCATAGAGACCCACATCTGACCCACAGCAGCCCTGCCCCACATCTGACCCACATCCAGAGGGGCTGCCCCACATCTGACCCAGAGAGACCCTGCCCCACATCTGACCCATGGCCGACCCATAGAGGGGCTGGGGCTGACCCATAGAGACCTTGCCCCACATCTGACCCACATCCAGAGGGGCTGCCCCACAGCTGACCCGCAGAGGGGCCGGCCCTGACCCACAGCTGACCCACGGCAGGGCTGACCCACCTCTGACCCACAGCTGACCCATAGAGGGGCTGGGGCTGACCCACGGCAGGGCTGCCCCACATCTGACCTACGGCCGACCCACAGAGGGGCTGGGGCTGCCCCACATCTGACCCACGGCAGGGCTGCCCCACGGCTGACCCACACTGGGCCTGGGGCTGACCCAGGGCAGGGCTGAGCCACAGTGGGGCTGCCCCACATCTGACCCACATCTGACCCACAGCAAGCCCAGGGCTGACCCACAGCAGCCC